CCACTGTCAACCAGCCAACCTCCTTTTACAGGATTCACATTAAAGCAAGAAGCCACAAACAAGTTTTCTTCATCACCTGTTTCAGCTGTCTTTGCTTCAGCAGGCCTTTGATCTTTGTTGCGACAAAACCTTTCAATATGCCCAAGCTTTCCACATTGCCTGCACTTAACATTCGGATTCCTCCAACATCTCCAATGAGGATGGTTCACCTTGTTGCAATGCTTGCAGGGTTCATGGAAGCTTCTGCTTGAATTGGCTTCTTCAGATGAACCTTCCCGCTTGTTTTGATTTCCAGAATTCTGTTTCTGTTTTTGCTTCCCTTTTCCAGCATTACTACCCTTAACCTTTGCCTTCAATGCTCCCTCAGTAGCTTCTTCCTTTCTCATCATTCGCCTCTGCTCCTGAGCCTGAAGAGCACTAAGTATCTCAGACAGTTTCAATTGTGCAAGATTCTTGGTGTTCTCCAATGAGGCTAATGTAGCTTCGAACCTTTCTGGCACCGAAACCATAACCTTCTGCACTATCTTCTCATCTCCCACATCAGTACCCAAAATTCTGATCTGATTCACGATTCCAACAAGCCTATCAACATACTCCTTCACTGTCTCACTAGATTTCATTTGTTGTCTCTCGAACTCTCGAAACAAGTTCAAGACCTTCATACCTCTTATGCGATCATCCCCTTCATACTCTTTTTTCAGAAAATCCCACATTTCCTTGGCGTTTTCCAGTTTCATGATCTTGGTAAAGATCGACGGAGAAACAGCCGAGAATATGCAAGACATGGCTTTCGCTTTTCTGGTAACCTTCTCCTTGTGTAATCTGATTTGGTTCAAAGTAGGATTTTCTCCCAATGGAAGAACTTCATAATCTTCTTCCACTGCTTCCCACAAGTCTGAACCTTTCAGATACACCGTCATTCTCACCGCCCAAACTTGATAGTTTTCACCATCAAAGATCGGAGCAGGCTGGATTGGAATCTGAGATGAACTTGCAGCATCACCGTGATCCATTTCGACAAGCTTTCTCCACAGATCCCTCTAAGAACAACTTATGCTCTGATACCACTATTACAAATCAAACTCCCTCCTAACTCTCTGTTTTCGGTCTAAATATGAATCAAGAACTCTCTAAACTTCAATCTGAAATTTTCCAGAAAGCTTTTCATTCATACATAGAAAACTTACAGAAAGTAACATACATATACAGCACTTCAGAAAACTGACTAAAAACAGTTACTGAATAAAACCAACAGCTACATAACTTCAACACGTCCCTGAAACTGAAAAACATAAACCAGCTTTAAGTAAACCGAAACTAAACCATAATCTACCAACTCAAATCAGCATTGACTTGAGTCACTCACTTCTGCCAACACAATGCAGTCTTCCCGGAGACAATGGGTTTGACCCTCTGGCTCTGGCGGAGGATCCGGAGAACTTTAGATGGTTCGTGCAAGCAGAGCTCGTCAATGGACGGTGGGCGATGCTCGGCGTGGCTGGAATGCTTCTCCCCGAGGTCTTCACCAAGATCGGTAAGTAACCTGTTTCATAGTTTTCATATACGTATACATACAATAACACTTTTGGTGATTATATTGAAAATATTTTTTTTTGTGGGGGGCAGGAATCATAAGCGTTCCGGAATGGTACGACGCGGGAAAAGGGGAATACTTTGCGTCGTCGTCTACATTGTTCGTGATAGAGTTTATACTGTTCCATTACGTGGAGATAAGGAGGTGGCAGGACATAAAGAACCCGGGGAGCGTGAATCAAGATCCGATCTTCAAGCAATACAGCTTGCCTCCTAATGAAGTGGGTTACCCTGGTGGCATCTTCAACCCTCTTAACTTCGCCCCCACCCTCGAGGCCAAGGAGAAGGAGCTCGCTAATGGTAACATATATAGCTTCTGTTGATTGAAATGTATGTATGTGTATATATACGGATATATACGGTACAAGTACAATGAACCTTTTTGTACATTTTGATGTGTTGAAATGTGGTGTGGAATTTGGTGACAGGGAGGTTGGCGATGTTGGCATTTCTAGGGTTCGTGGTTCAACACAACGTGACGGGGAAAGGGCCGTTTGAGAATCTGCTGCAGCACTTGTCTGATCCATGGCACAACACCATTATCCAAACCTTCAGAGGCTGAGACATATATATATATATATATAGCTTCCAATCTCTCTCTCTCAAGATATTTCTATTCACGAGCTTTTCCGCTTTACATTTCTTGAATTCTTGAGCATGAGATGGATGTATATAGGAACCGCGTACATTGATCAAGATGGCAATCATATATATATATATATATATCAAGAAAAGAGGCATCAGGGTACTAAGCAAATGGTTTTGTCACTCCATTTCACAATGTGATTCTTGATCTAGATGAAAGTAAAGCAAGCATTGAACATATATATATATATATATGGTCAAATTATACACTAATGGATGTTTGGAGAAACCTAGATTTCATCATCCCAAAGCTGTTGGATGGATTTGTAAGGGCTTGTGGTTTGATTAACAAGGAACTCTCCTCTCATGATCTTCCACTCCTCCAACTGATCAATCTCAGACAAGTCTTGCTCGTCCAATTTGATCTCCAGGGCTCTCTTGTTCTCTCTGAGTCTCGCTTCACTGAAACTCTTCACTATCACACTCGACCCTTTGGACATACCCCACCTTAGAGCCACCTTCTTACACATAAAATACCCATATATATATGTTATACAATGGGTTGGTTATGATCGAAATAATCTTAGGATTCAACCACACAAATGTGTACCTGAGCAGGAGTGGCATTGTGTTTGAGAGCAATGGATGCCATGAGAGGATGTTGAATCACAGCCGTTGTTCCCCAGTGGTTGCCGGGCCCACCTAGCGGTGAATATCCGCTTACGTGTATTCTGTTTTCCTCGCAAACCTGCCTCAGCTTGCTTTGTCTCCACAAAGGATGCATTTCCACCTTGATATAAGATTATAAGTTCCTTAAAGGATTCATCTTTATGTTATGGTATCAAATTTAAACCGATATTATGATAAGATGATATATATATATATATATATATACCTGATTGACATGAGGAGAAACCGAGGCGAAATCGAGGAGGTTCAAGATCTTCTGAGAGGAGAAGTTGCTGACACCAATGCACTTGCAAAGATCCAAATCTAAGCATCTCTCCATGGCTTCCCAAGTTTCTTCAATCCCTAAATCTGTCTCGAAGTCTTCTTCTCTTGGGACAGGCTCATTCACTCCTGGCTTCAACTTTATTGGCCAATGCACCAAGTACATGTCTAGATACTCCATCCCCATTGTCCTATACATACATACATACATATGTGCATATTACATGCATGTATACACAACATGGATAGCATGTGTATACATATATATGTACATAGAGATATAGTTTATTACTTGAGAGTTTGGTTGAGGGCAGAGATAGGATCATGATGATCACTGGACCATAACTTGGAAGTGACAAAGAGATCTTCTCTCTCAACAATCCCATGAGAAATAGCTTCTCCTAATGCATTCCCAAGTGTTGCTTCTGACCCATATATCTTCGCTGTGTCAAAATGTCTATAACCCATCTGTTTAATTTTATCAAATAAACGCCAACATTATCTTATATGTTATAGAATGTTGATGAAGATTCCAATATATAGTTTCATGATATATATACATATATATATATAACTAATTGAGAAGATCAATATATAATATGAACCTTGAGGGCCAAATGGATGGCTTTCTTGGTGGTTTCTTCGTCGTTGAGAGGCGAATAAGTTCCCATTCCAAGCAGAGGAATTGTCTTCCCACACTGGAGACGTGCTACGTCACTCCTCCTCTCTCTCTCTCTCTCTCTCTCTCTCTCTCTCTCTCTCTCTCTCTCTCTCTCTCGCGATGTTATATATTATGTATGTGTTGTGTGGGTTCCTCTGTTGAATTTGTGATGTATTTATAGCCACCCAAAGGTCAACAACCATCTTGACTTTTTTTTCTTAGGATAATCTTCACGTCATTAATATATATATATATATCTATTAGAAAAAAGACAATCTTCACGTCATTAATATATATACACACACGTATATATATACATTAAAAAGAGCAGGGAGGATTTGATATTTTTTTTAATTTTTTTTTTTGAAACAGCTTTTGTGGAGCTTCATGAGGCATTGAAGCACGAGAGTTTTCCATGTCTCGTGGGATTTCCTTAGCCGACCCAAATCCTCACACACCTCAAGAGATATATGTATATATCGTCGAGAGTTATATTTTTTCTGTACACTGATATATATATATATATATATGTATATATATATATATAGCTATAAATGTTCAATGTGTTGTTGTCTATCATGATTAATAATTTATTAAAATCTATTTTTATTAATTATAAGGTCCTTATAAAATATTTAAGTTCCATATTTTATCTGCAGTTTTTCCTTAATTAAGTTTTGATTTTGGCTATTTATGATAGCATTCATCTAGGGCACGAAAAGATGATTATCAAGCAATTATGAATATAATCTCGAGTTCTTCATTGATGGTATCAGGCAATAAGACATGGATAATATTTATCCCAACAAAATCTAATTATCAAATAATTTCTCATGATATGATATCCGGATTCATAGACACGATTCGTCGGAAGACTAAAATATATGAAGTTCTCTGCAGAGGACGGTTTGACATTACAAAGTCTCGTCAATGAATTGATATTTATACAAGATTTAAAAAAAAAAATTATCTTTTTTTATAAAATGATTGATTGGAAGTCAAACGCAAAGCTTGGGAATTAATACCGAACCCTTAAATGTTGATGGCTTACTAACCAAATTACATAATTATATGCGCGTTGACATTGCTTAAACCCTTAAAATTAAAATATTAGATATTTTTTTATTTAACATTGAGTTAATTATGTGTCCGTTATGATGTTTCATGTTGTTTTTTGAGCAGAAGCCATTGTCATGGTCATGTTCCTGCCCTGCTTTGTAATGCACCGCCGCAAGATTTCACAAATCTTTTTCCATGTGACAGTTTTACCATCAAATGTCAACTATTTGTATATTTTCATGCTCCTATATATATATGTGTAATATATGGATATTTGATTTTTAAAATAACTGTCTATTATTATGCTAAAAAATAATCATCAAAAGTAAACTGCCTATTAGAAGCCATTTTGGTTATTCACCGAATAACCGGATCGAAGTAAACCAAAATTTATATAAAATCCGAATAATTATAGTTTTTCTATAACCAAAATAACAATATAATCGAACCAAAACCTAAAATGACTATTCCTACTACCTACTTTGAATTATATACTCACTCTTGTAAAACAATAAAAAAAATTAAATTTTGGATTTTAGGGAACTAGGGTGTTTGAATAGAGTAACATTTGTGACAAGAGCATGTCATGGCCGGTTCAATATTAACCAGGAATTTGGTTTGATACCAACCAAACCGGCTTCTATTAGTGTACATTAACCGAACCTTACCGAGAATACCGGTTTCAAATTAGACCGAATAATTTAACGGTTTAGACGATACAGATTATCACAGCATAACTTAGCCCCTGCCCTTTTTTCTAGTAGATTTAGAGAAAACATTGGAATTGATCCAATGGTATTTTCATATGTAGGTGTAACTGATAATTTTTTGCTGAGGAAAGATTTACCAGAGAAGACAAGAGAGTTCATCTTACAAGGGATGAGGGATCACTTGTTCTGCTTTGTTACTGTCCTCTGGACTGTTGATACACCATCCACAAACTTTGTCCGGAAGAGAACATTGGCATTGTTGAACATTCCTTCTTTCAGGGAAACCACGACAAACTGCAATATATGAATGCAGTAATTGTCAAGTTCGAGGCAAATGAATGAGTAAGACCCGAGTTTACTCCTAATACAAGGTCTTAGATTAGGGATGTTTCTAGTATTTTGTGGTTCTTTGAACTGTTAAAGTCTTTTGGTTGTCTGAATCATAGCTAGTGAAATCGGAAGGAAAGCATGAAGGCACAGGAGGGAAGTTCGTAGACCAAGAAATTCTATGACCTGTGAGTGCGGGAAATGAGCTTTTATCATTCTTCCAATGTTCTGTGTGTGGCTGAGATCAAGAGCTGCATCAACCTGGCAACAAAACCAGACAACAAAGAGAATATCTCATGCATATGACAGTTCCATAAGGAAACTTAGTCTAACCAAACGTAATCTAAAAGTTTTGTTCATCAGACTAAATCATATTGTGATCATGAGTATCAGAATCATTATAAGGATAAACTTAGCCAATAGGTATCAGGAAGCCTGACAAGAGAAATATCAAAGTGTACCTCATCTAATATGTAAAGAGGAGCTGGCTTGAAGAGAAGCAATGCCAAGATTAAGGAGAGAGCAAGAAGAGATCTTTGTCCTCCACTGAGTTCAGACAAGGACTGTTTCCAGACACCCCCAAAAGCAACACGGACCTCAAGACCATCGAGAAAAGTGCCACCTTCTGGCGGATCTAGCTTTGCCGTGGTGCCAGGTAGAAGAGTTGAAAAGATGGACCCGAAATCACTTGAGTAAAAGATCAAAACAATGAAAACAATTGAATATTTTTTGACGGAAAAATCGATTAGAATCATGGGTTTAAAAGAAAGGAACAGAAAGTGACTCACGTGTTAACTTTAACCCATGTAACTTTCAGTGTTTCCTTTTTCTTCTCGTCTAGCTCTTCAATCACCTTCTTGATTTTGGATTTGTCATTCTACAAAAACCAAAGATGGCCGTAAGTTAATGTTTGTTAAGGCATCGAAATGTGTCATCAAGACCCAGAGTAGCAGACCTCAATTATGTTTTTCTTGGACATCAATGCATTGTACTCATCTTCTGCTTTCTCAAACATCGCCATCACCTTCTTGTTTACCCTTTTTTCAAGACTTCATGAGGCGAATGAAAAGCCAAGAAAAAAGAAGTAACAATCTCACCAGTTAGTAAAAGAGAAAAACCAAAAAGAATTGTTCGTAGCTCATTGATCTTAGGCCATCACTCATGTTAATATCAAGATATCATTCATAAGATATTAACAAGAATTATCGGAAATAATACCCTGATTGTTCACCCTGGAGTCTTTCAAGTTGTTCTCTTGCTTTATAAGGATCACGTGATGCAAAATCATAGTCAGTCCCTGTTCTTCCAAAAAGCTGCTTCTCTGATGTTATCCATGTATGCGTTTCAATCAGTTTATCAACTTTGACAGAGCAATCCTTTTGCTCCATCTCCATCCTTACCACCTATACAAGATTTCCAAAACAATATATAACCTTGCGGATTATGCATTCCCTTGACATGCAAACGTTTCATAAATCTGTCTTCAGAGAATTTCATTCTTTCTGATTTTCGTTCATGACTGAGTTATCAGAAAGTCTTCACATTCATAAACAATTCTACGCACTCGCCAGTGTCCCCATTCCTTCTAACATGAGGAAATGCTGTTTGACATTCATCTTCAAGTTCAAGAGATAAAATGAACAAAAAAAACCCCTAAAACTCGTTTATATTGGGATACTGAAGAATATTACTCATCTCAGCCACACACAGAACATAGGAAGATTGATACCCATTTTAGAGAAAACGGTAATGACACATAAATCATGGAAAGTCTTGAAGAAGTATACACGCTTTGTAACTTTCCAGAAATGGAAACCATAAGAAAATGAAACCGAAAGAATACCTCATTTTCCAACTTCTTTCTCTCAAGCTTCAGGTCACTAAGTTTCTGAAGAGACTTTTCCTGGTCTGCAACTAAACCACTTATCTGTGTATCACATTCCTTCATCTTCGCATGTATCAACTTAAGCTCAGCCAGAGCTTGATCGTGATTCTTTTGTATGGCTTCAACCTGCATGAAAATCACATTAGGATAACATTTCTTTCACATAACTCGGCAAAATTTTAAAACTAGTCACCTTTGCTCGTTGCTCATTTATTTCCGAAGCCAGTGTGCTAACTTGAGTTCTTAATGAATCTAACTGACTCTCCAAAAATGATTGTTCCTTCTTCACTGCTTCCTGCTCCATCACAAACTTCTCTTGTTCGTTTTCATGACCCTAGATGCAAGAAAAACCATGGGAGCAAAAGTTATGGAGCCAATTTGGAAGTGTCAAAAGTCTTAAAGCACCACAAATTCAAAAGAATGAAACAGATTCTTGAACAAGTTGAGAAAGCAAAATTACCAAAAGAAAAAAAGAATGAGAAAACAAAGAGAATGAAAAGTAATAACTTATTATTAATAAGAAAAAGGACTCACGAAGTCCAAATCTAGAGGGAAAAGCACATGACTGAGAGATTCTGAACACCTTTAGATCTTTTGAAGCTGCCTGCATCTGAGTTTTGATAGTCTTAATCTTTTTTTCCAAGTTCTTGAGTCTTTCCTCTCTGTTCTTGTCATGATCCTTGATGGATTTCTCCAGTATGGAGACAGTATCAACGCACTGTTTGTAAAGAACCTCTTTATCCTTGACTTGGGATTTTGCTTCTTCCAGCTCTTCCTCAAGCTTTTTCACTGCTTCACCAAGCTAAATTACAAGGGGTAGACCAGAGTAAGACTAAAATTTTGTTCTTAGCATCTAGAGAAGGAAAAAAGCAAGGAAGTTTTATCCTTATAGTTGTAAATAGACAACAGAGGTAACCTTGTGATGCTCATTCTGTTCAGCCCTTTTAAGAAATAGAGACAAGTCATATGTTTTTAGCTCCAATTGTGCTTTAGTGTCTGTGAACTTCTTCTGAAGAGGTCGAAGCTCCTTGATCTGCAATGGAAAGATACATGAAGATTTCAGGTTTGAACTTGAAAAATACTCATTTTTATTATGAAATGGCACAACCTGGAGTAGAGCAAGCAGACAGCATTACCCTTTTGATGACCTTGGACAGATTATAAGGCTAACAAAAGATCCTAAGAGTCAAATATAAGATTTAACTATAATGATATAGCCCTCACTAAAGCTTTGCTTCACATGGACCAGCAACAATCAAAATAAGTAAATGTGTAATGTATATATTATATCAAAAACATCAATTTCAATATCTGCTCTGAACATGAAATAAACTTTTATGTCATTCCACTAGCTGAGAGTTGGAATTTTAAGTACCTCGTATGCCAAAATCAAGTGTGTACCACATCTGTAACTTGGATCTAACCTGAATGAATATGTGTGGCTCTATGGATTCTTGCAATCCACTAGTATTGTGAGGTATGTAATAGTCAAGTGAATATTGAAGACTTTACCTTAGCTTCAATTTCAGACAAACTCTTCTGGTGTACTTGTAGTTTTGATTCAGCCTCTGCCAGATCATGAAGTTGCCTTAATAGATCACCTCCACCGCTACGACAATGGAAAACAATATCACAACAATGCTCGTAGCTTTTTCATAGGCAATGCATAACTGTATCCGTAAGGGCTCCAAAAATATGAGTGCCACACAATCTGTGAGTTGAAGAAAGAATTACGTACTTCCGACTTCCACCCGTTAGAAGACCACTTGGTTGAAAAATATCACCTTCGAGAGTGACACTTGGTGTCCGAATTTCCCTATTAAAAGCAACCTTGGGAACAAACATTTTGGGGTAAGCCGAAGATTGGTAACTTACTGAAGAGGTAGAGGAAAGGACAATGAACGAACGATAGCTTCTTTAAACTCATCTACCACATGTGAATATAACTGTCAACATATAGATATTTAGTTGTAGAAAATACGGCGAGGACGAAAATAAGTTTTGGTGTACCATTTATAATCCAACAAAGTAATCAGATTTTAGAACAGATCATGCAGATAAGGTTACTGTACAAATAGCTTACACAATCAACTATCTTGGTATAATACATGCAAACAACACAATCTCCATAATAAAGAATCGTAACCCAAAGTTGTTAATATCACACAATACATAAAAGCTAATGTCAGGGTCAGGCAAGTACTTACCTCCTTTGCTGCATCAGTGGTTTTGCAGACAAATGTGGAACCAAAAACGTATTCCATGGCACTCTGAAATAGAAAAAAATATTTAAAGGGAGTGACTAGTGATAGAGTAAAAGATGTTTGGTACAATAAGCAGTGAACCCACCTTTAATTCCTCGCTATATCCAACTAAAGAAAGTGCCAATTCTGCGTTCTCTTTTCCGACCTGCAAAATTAGTGGAAACTCAACAAGAAAGAAGGAAAAAGCCACCATTTGAGAGAGGAAGGAAACAAGAGCCACAGACCAATCTAACTGCAGATTGTTGCACTCTCGAAGGAACAAGGTGGGATTGAATTTTATTGAGGGGTATAATTGTAACTCTTCTCCGGAGACCACCCTTTTGAAGGAGCTGCTTACCAGTATCTTCTGTGTCCACGACAACATTAAACAATTTCCCACCAGCAGTTACCTAGAAATAAGAAACAAAAACCACCTTAGAGAATTGAAATTATTTGACCATTAATAATGATACTTTCGCACCAGAATTTGCTTACCTCCAATGCTGTCATTGTGGATCTGTCTTTCACTTTTATCAGTTTTGCAACCACACCTTTCACCTTTGACCGATCAAAGTTCTTCACAGGGTCACAGTATGTAAAATTGACATTTGCTAATTGAGCCGAAAGATCACGTGCTTTATCTTTCATCTTTTGCACAATTTCGAGCTCAGAAGCTCGGTCCTAAAGGAATATCTCAGTCAGAGATCCATACTTAACGTAACAGTAGGCGAAAAATGTCTAAATCAGACATACTAACCTTTTCCAAAGCTTCCATCTGACCCTCTTTGTATGGAAGAGATTCTAGTGACTTTTTTGCACTTCCTACATCATTTTTTCTTGCTTTAAGTTCATTCTCCACTGCCGCTGCTTCTTCACGTTTAGACATTAACTGAGATTTTTTCTCTTTTAGCTCCTTTTCACAGTGGCCAATTTTGGTCGTCAGCTGCTTCAACTCTGTCTCAGCTTTCCCAACAGCAACCTTTGCATCACGCAACTGATCTTCAAGGCATTTCTCCTCATCACCACTACTTTTCCCAGCAAGTACACCCTAATTTCCATGAACTTAAATTCAATGAAAATGCAAGGCAATCAAGATAATATGGAAGGAGACATATGCTGTAGTGATACTACCTGATGTTCTTTTTCGCACTCTTCCAATGTGGTCGAAAACTCCTGAACTCTTTGTTTTAGGTCAGCCGCTCCTTCCTCAGACTTCTTCAAAGCAGAGGTTTTCTCTTCAAGAGATTTCTTCAAATCTTCTATGTTATGAACAATCTGGAAACACCAAGAAGCAAGGTCTAGAGATCAGAAATAGCTAGGATGCTGAAACATGACAAAAAATTTGTCCAGATTAGGGAGCAAGAACGGTTAACTAACCTTTTCAGCATTCTCTTTTTCACCCTGAAAGGTGTCCTCCTTATTATTAAGTTTAGATAATTCAAGAGCCAATTCTTGAGACAGTGAATCCACATTCTCAGACAAAGTTTTTACTTCTCCCCCCATGCTGGCCTCCTTTGCCTGAGTCAAAGCTTTTATTTGTTTCTCCAAATCCTGAATTTCTGCATGCGTCTTTTCTGATCCCTCGTCAATATTAACAATTTTCGCCTTCATCTGTTCAACTCCATGGACAGCATTGTCTCTAACCTTCTCAGCTTGAACATATTCAAAAGCAATACAAAACCTCTTGAGTCTATCTAGTTCAGCATTACCATTAGCCCATTGCATGTACTGTGTCTTCTCTTTCCTCAACTTCTCCAAAGCTGGCAATATTTCATAGTCTAGGAGCTTATTTATCTCATCAACTTTGGTTTGCTTCTTTTCAAGTGTTTTCAGCGCAGCCTCTTTCTTGGTTTCATACATTCTTGTCCCAGCAGCTTCTTCAAGCATTGATAGGATCTCTGGAGGTTTCATGTTTAAGACTTTGGTGATACGCCCTTGCATGATGAGAAAATGGGGATTATTGACATTGAGTTGCACCGAGTGGAAAAGGTTCTGCACTTGACTTGGTTGTGCAAGCTTTCCATTGATCAAATACTTGTTCCGTCCACCAACTACAATCTTCAAAATGAAGACACAAAGGGGAACAAAGTCACCATGTGCAAATCCTTCTAAGTAGAAATGCAAAATAGACAACCTTTTCACCTAACCCTTTTACCATTGCGATAAAACCAAGCTTTCATCTTCATCATTACAAACACCAAAACTCTCATGGCAATGCCAACGCTAACAAAAACGCTAATTTTCACGGATTTCGTAATTCCTATAGTACACTACAAAATTTTGAAGAAATTTTGAATTTATATCAAAAGCGTATGTCTTGTGCCTCTTCATTTTCCGCAGCAAAAAACAGCTACTTCACAAACCATTCAAAGACAGCCCCACAGATATAGAGCAAGAGAAGGATAGGACTTACTTGTCTAGTCACAGTAATCTCCGAATGATCCTCGTAACCGAGAGGGCTTCTGCTCCTGTAGGAATTATCAAAGGTAATGGACACTGTTGCCTTGGTAATCCCAGCTTGCCCTTGCTTGTAAACGAGCTCCTGGAGATTAGCAGCACGAACTTGCTGAAGATTAGTAATTCCCAGAACGAAGCAGATGGAATCGAGGATGTTGGATTTTCCCGACCCGTTTAGACCCGTTATGGCGTTGAAATGCGGGTCGAAACCCGGCACGACCGTCCTCGTCGCATAGGATTTGAAACCCTCCAAGCATATCTCCTTTATGTGCATCTTCCTTCTTCTTTTTGTTCTTCCTCTTCACCTTCTTCTTCCCCAAACCTCCAATCGCAAGAGAAACCCCAAAAAAACAAACCCTAGAAATTCAAGTAGAGAAGCCAAAATTGAAACCCAGACACCCTAGACATGGAGATTGACTACGAAGTCACGTACAGGATAATTCTGGATTGAAGAACGAATACCGCGAAAATCGAATTGATGCGAGAGAATCTCAAAGAGTATCTGGACTCGTTTTTTTTCTTTGAAAATGAAATCAAATGTTGGAGATGAGGGCAGTCAGAGATTGAAAAGCAAAAGGGCGGGAAACTGAAAAGTTTTGAAAAGACACCCCACGCCCACAACCCTAACCTTCTGCATCCACAAGAAGGTATTCGTTGCTGAAACCTTCTCTTTGGTTCCGTGTCTTCGAGTCGTCGTCTTCGTCTTCGTGGCTACATATAAATGCAATGTGCATGTAACAATTGCAGAGAAGGTGGAACAATGGCGCTTCCGACACAACCCAAGGCTATGCAGATTGAGCTGTACCACCAACTGAAAAAGCATGCGACTTTTACCAATTTAGTTCCAATTTATCATCATTTAATACTTATTTCAGTATATCATATATCTATCTCCACCTGGGTTTTCTTCTTTCACCTCCATGTTAAGTTCAATTATATGAGAACTTGGTGAAAGGTGAAACCTTTATCTTTGCAAATTTCTTGTGGCAGTTCAATTCTTTATATTTGGTAAGCCACAAAATTCATATTCATTGCAATTTTTTCGGATTTCGGATTCGGTTATGGATATTTCTTGATAAAAAGAAAAATCAGTTGTAAACAGATTTGTGAGAAGATGATGTACAGACTGAGTCACATACAAGGATCAAAATATGATATAAATGTCAAACATTTCTTTCTTACAACAGAGACAGAGAAATTACAGACACTGACATAAACTACTGTTACAAATTCCAATAAATCTAAACTCCGGCAGAATCTCCGGACAAAGAATCACGGTCAGAATCCGCCGGAGCAACCAGGTTGTCATACACTAAAGCAGCGAAGGCTCCTCCGAGAAGAGGACCGACCCAATACACAGCCTGGTTCTTGAAGCTCCCATAGACCAGGGCCGAGCCAAAGGCACAGGCCGGGTTCATAGAGCCACCAGAGAACGGCCCGGCCGCCAGTACATTGGCTCCGGCAACGAACCCTATGAAAATGGGGCCCAGAACCCCTGACGGTCCCCGTCTCGGGTCACCGGCCGAACAAACCGTGTAGACCAAGGCAAAGGTCATTACCCCTTCAAGAACCGACGCTCCAAAACCCGTCATCTCTGCCGCGATTTTGTACATCGCAACGTGCTGAAACCAAAAACAAATCGAAAACGATTAAAGAAAACTTAACCAACGGTTAGAAAACCGCGATGTGACATGTGTAATGTTTAAACCTGTTCAAAGACGGTGACTTTTAGGACAAGGCAGGCCATAACGGAAGCAAACATCTGCGAAGTCCAGTAGAAAAGTGCGGTCGGAACGCTGATCCTACCAGCAACCACCATCCCAAACGTGACCGCTGGGTTAACGTGGCCACCGGACACGTTCCAAGCGATGTAAACCGCCGATGACAACGCAAACGCTGTCGCAATCGCCGCAGTCAGTACCCCTAACGCTCCCGTCACATCACCCGCCATTGATTTCCCTATCAAACAAAAACAGACATATACTTATGAGTATGTACGTATATATATATATACATACATATATATAATAACATGCAAGAAGGGCTACTGACGTGAAGAAATAATGGATCCAACGGCGGCAAGAACGAAGAAGAAAGTGGATATGAACTCAGCCAAATAACATCTCAGAGCATTCAAACTCAAGGCTCCTCGAAAACGATCGGATAACGAAATCGGAATCATTTTCTTCTCGAAATCGCAGACAAAAACTTGATTAGTGTCTTTTCAAGAACATTACAGAAGTGGAAGTGTTTGGTTTTTGTTTGAGGTTATATATAATATATATTGCGAGAACGGTAACGACCGTTTGCAAGATTCAAATTTAATAAAAAACAAATAAATTAATTAACCGCCGCAACAGACAAGGGTTTACACTTCCGGAGGAGTAGGGGAAGTTATTAGCGGTTATTATCATGTTCTTGATATTTTATAAATGACCCCCTATATTTAAGCAAAATTGTTTTTACACCCCGAATGTCGATTTACATAATATTTAAGAATTACATTGTTTCAATCCTAGTGCAGAAGTTAATCACTGATTGTTTAATATTTGATATAGTGTATATATATATATATACATACATAATTACATATATTATGATAAATAAAACCCATAACAGAGAAACGCTCCTTATCCTTCAATCTTCTTGTGTCCATATTTGGAATTATGAATCGATACCCTTCGCATTTTGGCCCATACATACATACATACATACATAATATTAATCTATTTTACTCACGTAATGTCAATCGGAAATTTATTTTAAATTATTTCAACTGTATATCCATGAAACTGGAATATGATTTTGGTTTTAACTTTTGGCTGAGGTTCGTAATAAATTTTAAGTGTCTTGTAATAATTGTCGGTTCATTAATTTGATGAGTTTTGTTAGTCAGTAATTTTCCTTCGTTCAGTAATTTCCTACGCTATTTTTGCATATATTCCACGACAGATGGAGACATGAAATTACACATATATGATCATTGCATTAATAGTTCACACTTTGATTTTTGCTATAGATTTTTTTTTTTTTTTTTTTTTTGCTAAATCCGTGTGAAATCGACTTTGCGTCATCCGGTGGATCCAAGTAACATGCGAAATATATATTTTTTTCATTATTAAATGACTGTATCTATACCAAATTGACTTTCTACACGTGTTATGAAAATGGTACTGGCTATAGATTTTTTTGGTAATCCAGTATTTCAGACCAAGAGATTAAATTATACGATTTAAAATATATATTCTGTTTCCAAATTTGAACTTTGAATTCAATGCGTGATAGGTTTTTTGCGTTCTATTTTATTTTATCGGTTGGATTATTCAAATTTGGGTCGTTTTGTATATATATAGAATTAATAGTATAATTTATAACTTAGAATATTTTACCATCACAAACATGTAACGGGAAATAAAATTAGAATATCTTATGCGGTATAGAAAATCAACTAATAAGAAAATTTAAAAAAAAATAAAAAAATGTGATAATTATTTCGGTTCGGTACATAAACAAAATGGACTTATATGTAGTTATATATAAATCGAAACTTTTATAAAAGTCGGTTAATTGTTAATTCTTAAAAATATACTGATCAGTTTTGGGGTGAGTCCAACCCGAAATTTTTAAAGAAGTCACCATCGAGTGCAAGTGGATAATGTTACAGAAATTTAAACAGGTCATATAATATTATTAGGTCCACCAATAATATTATTTGCCACAACAAATAATAAACGCCGTCGACAAAATTATAGTTTGATTACATATTTCATGAGTCAATATATATATAAGAAAAATGCAGCTTTGATTCTTATTAATTAACGCGCCAACCATGGAAATTTAATTATAAATATTTTCGGTTTATAAAAATCGATAGAAATTTCAAACTATCCTAATTAATTAGTAATTTATATTTACATATTACGCCAAACCCAAATAACATGTCAAAACCCCCTCTTTTGTTTAAATATAATAATGTATATTTTTGTGTTTTTTTGGGTTTGGGTATTGATTAATATTCTGGATTTGTTATTATGAAAAAAACAATATGATTAGTATATTGAGAGAGAGAGAAATATTAGTGATGAATAAGTCTACGCAAATCTCTCTTGATTGTTTCGGTTACTATATTGTTTCCAGATTATTCTCTAACTCCTTAATTGTCAATCATGTATATATGTCGTTGTATGACAATTGTCAATAACACATGAGAAACATTTTTCCAAAACCACAACATGGTATCCAGAGCCTAAGTGTCACACGACCAGAACACCCCCACAATCCTATTTTCTTTTTTTTTTATTCCTCGCAGTTTCTCTGCTAACCCCACCGCCATCGACGACTTGTTTAGCCGTCCTCCATGGCTTCCGACACACCCTCCAGCTCCGATGCCATTCTCCGTGACAATGTCACCGCACACAACACCGACGATCCCGCATCTACATTGATCAACGTCAATGTCTCAAACGTGACCAAACTCAACGGCACAAATTTTCTGACTTGGAGCATCCAAATCCAAGCCCTCCTCCAAGGTTACAACCTTGACGCCTACCTTGATCCGGCCACTGCTCCGTCGCCCACCATCATCGTCGCCAATGCTATCACGCAAAATCCCGTCTACACTCCGTGGTTTATCGACCAAGATCGCCCTTCATACGTGTGCAAACTCCACAAAGCTCTCTACGGGCTAAAGCAAGCATCACGTGCTTGGTACAACGAGCTTTGTCGGTTCCTGCTTGCCTCCGGATTCGTCAACTCTCTCTCGGACACTTCCTTGTTCATCTACAACTGCGACTCTATCACTCTCTTTGTCCTTGTCTATGTAGATGACATTGTGATTACCGGAAGCCACACGAAGAATGTTCAAGACTTTATTGCGATACTAGCTCGAAGGTTCTCCATTAAGGACCTCGGTCCTTTATCATTCTTTCTAGGCGTGGAGGTGACTCGCGGACCAAAGGGAATTCTCCTCTCTCAAAGGCGGTACATTGGTGACATTCTCTCCCGTCATTTCATGGCCGACGCTAAGCCGGTCAACACACCTCTACCGACGACATTGGACCTTCGACGCGACAGCGGCTTCAAGCTTGATGACCCTGCGGAGTATCGACAAATATTGGGAAGCTTACAATACCTTCTATTCACACGACCGGACATCGCCTTTGCGGTCAATAAGCTTTCTCAATACATGCATTGTCCTACGTCGGAACATTGGAAAGCCCTGAAACGGGTCCTACGCTATCTGGGCGGGACTCGCTCCCATGGTATCTTTCTCTCGAGCTCCTCTCCGTTGTCTCTTCATGCCTTCTCTGATGCAGATTGGGGTGGTGATCGTGATGATTTCACATCAACGGGAGCTCATATCGTTTATCTCGGTCGAAACCCGATTTCTTGGTCTTCCAAGAAACAACGGTTCGCGGCCAAATCATCCACTGAAGCGGAGTACAAGTCTGTCTCAACCACGGCATCGGAGGTTCAATGGCTTGTCTCCCTCCTATCCGAGCTTGGCATTACTGTTCCCACGGCGCCAGTCATTTACTGCGACAATGTCGGTGCCACCTATCTCTCCGCAAATCCCGTCTTCCATTCCCGAATGAAACACGTCGCAATTGACTACCACTTCATCCGCGGACTAGTTCAAGCTCAGAAGTTACGTGTCACTCACGTCTCCTCCGCCGACCAGCTTGCGGACGCTCTCACCAAGCCTCTCGCCCGCCACCGGTTCGAGCTTCTTCGGTCCAAGATCGGTCTCTCCACCGACACCGATCTTGCGGGGGCATATTAGTGATGAATAAGTCTACGCAAATCTCTCTTGATTGTTTCGGTTACTATATTGTTTCCAGATTATTCTCTAACTCCTTAATTGTCAATCATGTATATATGTCGTTGTATGACAATTGTCAATAACACATGAGAAACATTTTTCCAAAACCACAACAAGAAAAACCTCGCCGAAGGAAAATTCATAAGAAAATAGACTTTACAATTTTCTCAAATTTGAAACTTTTGAATTATTATGCGAATCATCAACTATTCATAACACAAATCGCAACAAACTTATTTATTCCATATTAGACAAGTGGGTGAATTGTAATAACATAATATTTTTAATTAAATTGGTTAATGGATTAATTGATAATACTAAGAAATAAATTAATATATAAATAAAATGAGTATTAATTAATGGATTAACTAATAATCATGAGATTCGATCTCGAATTTGATAGAATTAACATTTTCTATGGCCTAGATGTTTTAACCGAGCACCGAATGAATCAACTTTTCGTTACTCCGACAGTCTCTAAATGAATAACTATTTCTATAACTACACTCTGCATCTTTCATATCAAATTTGAAATTTGTTTGAATCATTGTGCACGAGTTTCTTTATCTTCATTTTTAAGATTTTATATATATTTTGTAAAATATTCAATAAAACTTTTTTTGTTTTACATCAAACATTCGTACGCACACCAATAACACATACGAAATATTCATTTCTTCTCTTAATAGGATTATAAAAAGATCTATAATAACAATTATAACAATTATATATACCTTTATGTACATAAATTGTAACTCAATGGGAATTATTTTGGTAACTATACTTTCATAATTGTATTTTACAATTTTCTCAACAAATCTAAAACTTTTTTTTTTGCACTCGTTTTGCACGACTTTTTGGGAAATTGGATTGAGTTATTTTCATTTGATAATTTTTTTCTTGCACTCTTTTTATTTTATAATTGTTATGGTTTTAGTTGTTTACTCATACGATAGTGGTGTGGAATCCATCGATGAGACAACGAAGAGACATCACCTCCGTGATTCATTTTGGTCCTCTGCGCAATTGGCTTTGGCTATGATGATTTGAAGGAGGATTACAAGATCATCTGTCTGTAACAAAATTCCATAGGAACTCAAGTCCGAATCTTGTCCCTCGCTTCTAGTTTTTGTCAGAGTATTGATTTCAAGCGATTACACATAAAGTACTTTTCAATCTGAGGAGGAATTTTGTTGGGTAATAGTGTTTTCTGGTTGTGTGATGATTTCGAGGACAATGAAAAGAGTATGATCGTGAGTTTCGATCCCAGTGAGAAGTTGGACCGTTCCTTTGGTCTGAATATCACAACTGAACGTCTGGTGGATCATTCATCGGTCATTCATGACCATCTTTGTGTATTCTAGTTGGATGAGGAGAACAACAACATGGTGGTATTGGATGGAAAACAGAGCACTGACAAGAATATGATAGCAAATTGGGGCATATGGTTCTTCGTTGTCATAGATGGATTTGGATTGTCGGGAAAGTCTTGGATGATTGACGACTTGATGTTCAGACAAATGATCAAAGATTTCGAGATTTTGGTAAGGCTTATAACATTGAGAATGGGAGCGACGAAAGACTAGACGAGCATATATCCTTCAGTCCACCATATACATTCTTTGGTCCGTATGAATATACGCAAACACTATTTTTCCTTTTAGAGCCGTCTTAAATATTTTTTTTTTATTTCTTCTCTTAATAGGATTATAAGAACATCTATAATAACAATTATAACAATTATATATACTTTTATATACATAAATTGTAACTCAATGGAAATTGTTTTGGTAACTATACTTTCATAATTGTATTTTACAATTTTCTCAACAAATCTAAAACTTTTTTTTTGCACTCATTTTGCACGACTTTTTGAAAAATTGGATTGGGTTATTTTCATTTGATAATTTTTTTCTTGCATTCGTTTTATTTTATAATTGTTCTGGTTTCAATTGTTTACTCATACGATAGTGGTGTGCAATCCATCGATGAAGCAACGAAGAGACATCACCTCCGTGATTCAGTTTGATCCTCTGTGCAATTGGTTTTGGCTATGATGATTCGATGGAGGGATCTCTTTCGTGAATCTTGGTTCATCAAGAATCACAAAAAATTTGCCACCAAAAATTTTCTCTTCACGGCTTTAAGCAGCCTTGAAGATGGACGAACGGTGACCACACAATAGTTCTACAACTACGATTCGAATGGCGAATGGGGCCTGATACACGAGGAAACCGATACTCTGGTGGAGATGCTTCAGTGTGATGGGCTCTTCTGCCTGTGGTTGGGAGATCATATCCAAAGAATAATATTGTGGAATCCCTCAACCAAAGAAAGAAGAGACATCACTCCCACGTTCCAGGTTAGTGCTTTCGACGCCATTGGGTTTGGCTGTCTTGAGTCTACGAATGACTACAAGATCATACTAGTGAAAGCAATAGACAGAGCATTTCAAGTCCAATTTTTGTCCCTTGCATCTGGTCGGCACCAGACGATTGATTTCGATAGTAGTCACAGAAGGGAAAATTTAACGACCGGAGGATGTTTGGTGGGCCACAATGTCTTCTGGTTGTGGTACGACGATGACGAGAGCATCAGCAGAAAGATTCTGCTCATAAGATTCGATATTGAAAAAGAAAGCATGGGCATCTCCTATGGCCCGGATGTACCAATGGAACGACGGGTGAATCAGCTCTCTGTCATTCGCGAGCGTCTCTATATGTTTGAGATCAACAGATACGACGTAGACTATCCCGACATAGTTGTTTGGACCCTAGGCGAAAGCGAAAACCAGAATTTTATCGGAACTTGGAGCAAATGGTTCTCGATAGATGTAAGTGACTTCGGCTTATCCAGAGATACTTGGGCGATCGACGAGCTTATTCTGGGACGCGTGACGAATGATTCAGAGCTGCTCGTGAGATTCTACAACGTGGAACAGAGCGAAGTGTTTTCTCTCTTTGCGTATAATATCGAAGCAGAGAGCATCACGAGGCTAGAGCATTACATGTCGTTCGGTCGGCATTTTTTTCTCGGTCCACACGAATACACTCCCTCGATGTTTCCGTTAACGTAGTCAATGACAGCAGAGTGGGAGTGAAGCTGAAGCTGAAGCTGAAACATGTTAAAGGTATGTCGTGAGTCTCTCGATGACAACACTCGTGTCTAAAGGGTCGGTTTAACGGCTTTTCTTAATATAGATTTAGCATTCCATTTCAAATGGGTGCAATAAATTAATTACGATCACCGAATAAGAGAATAAAAACATCACATGTTTTCCAAGTTATATCATCCCACAAGATACAAGGAGTCAGTAGTCACCTTACCTTAAGCTATACTAAATTAGAGAATACAATTGACATTCCTAAGTTGAAAACGTTACCTTACTTTTCCACAAGTATAAGCGAAATGAATGAAAAGAAATCTAATGTATAGTGTATTCTACTATGTTTATCTTCATAGTTTCAGTTCTTGGGGATTTGCCTCTTGTGCAGATGGAAAAAATCTCAAAAAAGCTGCGAGAATTTCCACGAGTCTTCTTCGCTGCTCGAAGCAACATGTCATGCGTAGAGACACTTACGAAAGAGAGATGGACCTTTATGTACATAACTGAGTCTGAAGAATCTTCGGTCGAAGTCGAAAGCTTTGAAAAAGATGGTTCGGAACTTCAGATGAACTCTTCTCTTGTTGAACATTTGTTTTCGTGCAATGGTTCAAATCCACTTTTAATCCAGTGGGATCACTTGTTCTGCTTTGTTACTGTCCTCTGGACTGTTGATACACCATCCACAAACTTTGTCCGGAAGAGAACATTGGCATTGTTGAACATTCCTTCTTTCAGGGAAACCACGACAAACTGCAATATATGAATGCAGTAATTGTCAAGTTCGAGGCAAATGAATGAGTAAGACCCGAGTTTACTCCTAATACAAGGTATTAGATTAGGGATGTTTCTAGTATTTTGTGGTTCTTTGAACTGTTAAAGTCTTTTGGTTGTCTGAATCATAGCTAATGAAATCGGAAGGAAAGCATGAAGGCACAGGAGGGAAGTTCGTAGACCAAGAAATTCTATGACCTGTGAGTGGGGGAAATGAGATTTTATCATTCTTCCAATGTTCTATGAGTGGCTGAGATCAAGAGCTGCATCAACCTGGCAACAAAACCAGACAACAAAGAGAATATCTCATGCATATGACAGCTCCATAAGGAAACTTAGTCTAACCAAGCGTAATCTAAAAGTTTTGTTCATCAGACTAAATCATATTGTGATCATGAGTATCAGAATCATTATAAGGATAAACTTAGCCAAGCCAATAGGTGTCAGGAAGCCTGAAAAGAGAAATATCAAAGTGTACCTCATATGTAAAGTGGAGCTGGCTTGAAGAGAAGCAATGCCAAGATTAAGGAGAGAGCAAGAAGAGATCTTTGTCCTCCACTGAGTTCAGACAAGGACTGTTTCCAGACACCCCCAAAAGCAACACAGACCTCAAGACCATCGAGGAAAGTGCCACCTTCAGGCGGATCTAGCTTTGCCGTGGTGCCAGGTAGTAGAGTTGAAAAGATGGACCCGAAATCACTTGAGTAAAAGATCAAAACAATGAAAACAATTGAATATTTTTTGACGGAAAAATCGATTAGAATCGTGGGTTTAAAAGAAAGGAACAGAAAGTGACTCACTTGTTAACTTTAACCCAGAAAAAAGAAGTAACAATCTCACCAGTTAGTAAAAGAGAAAAACCAAAAAGAATTGTTCGTAGCTCATTGATCTTAGGCCATCACTCATGTTAATATCAAGATATCATTCATAAGATATTAACATGAAATATCGGAAATAATATCCTGATTGTTCACCCTGGAGTCTTTCAAGTTGTTCTCTTGCTTTATAAGGATCACGTGATGCAAATCATAGTCAGTGAGTTATCAGAAAGTCTTAACATGAGGAAATGCTGTTTGACACTCATCTTCAAGTTCAAGAGATAAAATGAACAAAAAAAACCCCTAAAACTCGTTTATATTGGGATACTGAAGGAAGAACATTACTCATCTCAGCCACACACAGGACATAGGAAGATTGATACCCATTTTAGAGAAAACGGTAATGACACATAAATCATGGAAAGTCTTGAAGAAGTATACACGCTTTGTAACTTTCCAGAAATGGAAACCATAAGAAAATGAAACAGAAAGAATACCTCATTTTCCAACTTCTTTCTCTCAAGCTTCAGGTCACTAAGTTTCTGAAGAGACTTTTCCTGGTCTGCAACTAAACCACTTATCAGTGTATCACATTCCTTCATCTTCGCATGTATCAACTTAAGCTCAGCCAGAGCTCGATCGTGATTCTTCTGTATGGCTTCAACCTGCATGAAAATCACATTAGGATAACATTTCTTTCACATAACTCGGCAAAATTTTAAAACTAGTCACCTTTGCTCGTTGCTCATTTATTTCCAAAGCGAGTGTGCTAACTTGAGTCCTTAATGAATCTAACTGACTCTCCAAAGATGATTGTTCCTTCTTCACTGCTTCCTGCTCCATCACAATTCACAAACCTCTCTTGTTCGTTTTCGTGACCCTAGATGCAAGAAAAACCATGGGAGCAAAAGTTATGGAGCCAATTTGGAAAGTTCTTGAGTCTTTCCTCTCTGTTCTTGTCATGATCCTTGAACAAGGTGGGATTGAATTTTATTGAGGGGTATAGTTGTAACTCTTCTCCGGAGACCACCCTTTTGAAGGAGCTGCTTACCAGTATCTTCTGTGTTCACAACAACATTAAACAATTTCCCACCAGCAGTTACCTTTGAAATAAGAAACAAAAACCACCATAGAGAATTGAAATTATTTGACCATTAATAATGATACTTTCGCCCCAGAATTTGCTTACCTCCAAGGCTGTCATTGTGGATCTGTCTTTCACTTTTATCAGTTTTGCAACCACACCTTTCACCTTTGACCGATCAAAGTTCTTCACAGGGTCACAGTATGTAAAATTGACATTTGCTAATTGAGCCGAAAGATCACGTGCTTTATCTTTCATCTTTTGCACAATTTCGAGCTCAGAAGCTCGGTCCTAAAGGAATATCTCAGTCAGAGATCCATACTTAACGTAACAGTAGGCGAAAAATGTCTAAATCAGACATACTAACCTTTTCCAAAGCTTCCATCTGACCCTCTTTGTATGGAAGAGATTCTAGTGACTTTTTTGCACTTCCTACATCATTTTTTCTTGCTTTAAGTTCATTCTCCACTGCCGCTGCTTCTTCACGTTTAGACATTAACTGAGATTTTTTCTCTTTTAGCTCCTTTTCACAGTGGCCAATTTTGGTCGTCAGCTGCTTCAACTCTGTCTCAGCTTTCCCAACAGCAACCTTTGCATCACGCAACTGATCTTCAAGGCATTTCTCCTCATCACCACTACTTTTCCCAGCAAGTACACCCTAATTTCCATGAACTTAAATTCAATGAAAATGCAAGGCAATCAAGATAATATGGAAGGAGACATATGCTGTAGTGATACTACCTGATGTTCTTTTTCGCACTCTTCCAATGTGGTCGAAAACTCCTGAACTCTTTGTTTTAGGTCAGCCGCTCCTTCCTCAGACTTCTTCAAAGCAGAGGTTTTCTCTTCAAGAGATTTCTTCAAATCTTCTATGTTATGAACAATCTGGCAGTTACCTTTGGTTTGCTTCTTTTCAAGTGTTTTCAGCGCAGCCTCTTTCTTGGTTTCATACATTCTTGTCCCAGCAGCTTCTTCAAGCATTGATAGGATCTCTGGAGGTTTCATGTTTAAGACTTTGGTGATACGCCCTTGCATGATGAGAAAATGGGGATTATTGACATTGAGTTGCACCGAGTGGAAAAGGTTCGGCACTTGACTTGGTTGTGCAAGCTTTCCATTGATCAAATACTTGTTCCGTCCACCAACTACAGTCTTCAAAATGAAGACACAAAGGGGAACAAAGTCACCATGAGCAAATCCTTCTAAGTAGAAATGCAAAATAGACAACCTTTTCACCTAACCCTTTTAACATTGCGATAAAACCAAGCTTTCATCTTCATCATTACAAACACCAAAACTCTCATGCCAATGCCAACGCTAACAAAAACGCTAATTTTCACGGATTTCGTAATTCCTATAGTACACTACAAAATTTTGAAGAAATTTTGAATTTATATCAAAAGCGTATGTCTTGTGCCTCTCCATTTTCCGCAGCAAAAAGCAGCTACTTCACAAACCATTCAAAGACAACCTCACATATATAGAGCAAAAGAAGGAGAGGACTTACTTGTCTATTCACAGTAATCTCCGAATGATCCTCGTAACCGAGAGGGCTTCTGCTCCTATCGGAATTATCAAAGGTAATTGACACTGTTGCCTTGGTAATCCCAGCTTGCCCTTGCTTGTAAACGAGCTCTTGGAGATTAGCAGCCCGGACTTGCTGAAGATTAGTAATTCCCAGAACGAAGCAGATGGAATCGAGGATGTTGGGTTTTCCCGACCCGTTTAGACCCGTTATAGCGTTGAAATGCGGGTCGAAACCCGGCACGACCGTCCTCGTCGCATAGGATTTGAAACCCTCCAAGCATATCTCCTTTATGTGCATCTTCCTTCTTCTTTTTGTTCTTCCTCTTCACCTTCTTCTTCCCCAAACCTCCAATCGCAAGAGAAACCCCAAAAAAACAAACCCTAGAAATTCAAGTAGAGAAGCCAGAATTGAAACCCAGAAACCCTAGACATGGAGATTGACTACGAAGTCACGTATAGGATAATTCTGGATTGAAGAACGAATACCGAAATTCAAATTGATGCGGGAGAATCGCAACCAGTATCTGGACTCGTTTTTTTTCCGTTGAAAATGGAATCAAATATTCGAGATGGGGGCAGTCAGAGATTTAAAAGCAAAAGGGCGGGAAACTGAAAAGTTTTGAAAAGACACCCCACGCCCGCAACCCTAACCTTCTGCATCCACAAGAAGGTATTCGTTGCTGAAACCTTCTCTTTGGTTCCGTGTCTTCAGTCGTCGTCGTCTTCGTGGCTACATATAAATGCAACGTACAGGTAACACTTGCATGCGACTTTTACCAATTCAGTTCCGATTTACCATCATTTAATACTTATTTCAGTATATGATATATCTCTGTCCACCTAGGTTTTTTTTTTTTAATATGTGATTTGTCAATAGTGGAGTTTGAATCTCGATAGAATACTCTTTGCGCATACCCATTTACCAGTTGAACCAATTATATTGGCTAGGTTTTATTCTTTCACCTAGTTCAATTATATGAGATCTGGGTGAAAGATAAAACCTTTATCTTTGCAATTTTATGTGGCATATTCATTGTAACTTTTTCGGCTTTCGGATTTGGTTATATATTTCTTGATAAAAAGAAAAATCAGTTGTAAACAGATTTGTGAAGAGATGGCTTAGGCTTATGTAAATAAACCATCAAAGTCCAAAGACTTGCAAACCAATCTTTCATATGGAGCTGAAAGGCCGAATAGTATAATATACAAATCTTATTGTTTGGATTCAAATTATTTTGTATTCGTGGGGGGCCCATACCCTTATCTTAATTTGTTTTGGATTTTGCATTGTTAGCTGTCAAAATTGATTTTTGATGTCTCAACATCAAATTTCTTTATTAAGCCAAAAAAAATTGCATTATCGTTTATGGTTAATGCTTTGAATTCAATATATATATATATATATATATATATATATATATATATATA